GGATTCTCTAATATTCTAAGCTTCAGTATGTGGAGTGCACAGTGGGCTTGTATCTCACTGGTGTAGCCTTCACAAGTGCTTGTTTCTCCTCCAGGGACAGAGCTCCTCCCCCATTCCCTTCCCCAGCTGCAGTGGATATACACCAGTGTTTTCAGTCTACAGATTTAAAACCCTTTTCTCTGAAAGTTAAATATTTTTTTAGGTGAGATGGGGGAGCTGGAGTTGGGTGAACTTCCCTCCCCCGGTTGCAATGGTATTTCACCAATGCCCTCAGACCATGTCCTTCCTCTGCAGAGTAGGCCTTTTGTTCCTTAAGGGAGAAGCGCATGAATAGTTTTCTCTGGATTTTCCCTGGTCTTACCTGTGAGAGCCAGGTTGGGTTCCTGGAGGAAGAGCCTGAGGAAGGATGGGAACCTCTCCCCCCAGGAGCTTCACACCCTCAATCTAGCCTACATTCAGCCTCCAGGAATTTGTTAAATTTTCTGACTTGATCTGCCTACCTACTTCTGTGGCATCTGGTGGCTTTTGCCCTTGGTAAGCAAACACTCAGATCTTATGTCTTATAGGAAGTGCCTCTCTCTCTCCTTCTCTCTCCCAACCAATATTTGAAATGGCCATTTGCTCTTCAATCTCAGGTCTTTTAATTTCCAGTCTGTCTAGATTTTTCTCTTATTGTTAGCATGGAAGGGGATTTTTTGCAGCTTTTCACCTCTCTGAGCTGAAACTGGAAGCCCTATTCAACCATATTTGACCTTTAAAAATGTCAATTTCATATGTTTCAACCTAATAGACTATGACATCATTTTTGAATAGTGCACCTTGTTTTGCTTCAGCCAAGGCCACCTAGAGATTTCTGGAAAATATTGCTGTGGGTTACTCTACATACAACTCACTGGGAGTTGATATCCCTATGGCAGTGGTCCTCAAACTTGAGTGTGCATCAGAATCACCAGAAGGACTTGTTAAAACACAGATTGCCGGGTTTCTTTCCAGAGTTTCTAATTCAGTAGGTCTGGGGCAAGGCCCAAGAATTTTCACGTCTACCAGGTTCCCCAGTGGTGATGCTAATGTTGCTTTTCTGGGTTTGCATTCCAAGAACCACTGCCCTGTGGCAGTTCTTGGAGGCCCAGAGCTCATCTGCATGTCCCACTTATTCTTCACTTTGAGGGCATATGGTTAGCCTGAAAGGCATCAGTTACGTTCTCAGTCGACCTCAGAGAAGTGTCAAGTGTAAAGTGTTGGCAAAGAACTCACTTTCTCCAGAATGAATATAAGAAAAGATAACATGTTTTAAGACAGAGGTAGCTATATTTTCTAAATAGCAGACGGCAGTCTTAGAGGTAATAGTGTGCAGACTACATATTTTTGAGGACCATGATGATGCAAGAAGTACTCTCCTTAGGGTCCGGGTGTTGGTTGAGACACACATACAAGTAAAGTGCCTCTGAAGCCTTTCCTCATATCTGTTTCTTTTATCATGGATCTTCCTTAATGCTCCAGTTTTGTGCTAGAGGTTTAATAAAGGTAAAACTGGGCTGCTCACATTTATAGAATAAATTCCATTTGGCACAATGACCAATTCATCCATTCAGTCAAATCTGCATCAAGTGATTACTATATATCTGTCAACGTTTTAGGTGCTGGGCATATAGCAGTGAAGAAAAAGTTACTGTCTTCATGGTGGCTGCATTCTAGGGAGGGGAGACAAAACAGACAAGAGTGAGTGAGGATAATAAATGAAGCAGGATATTCATATGGAGAGTCAGGGGAATGAATCAGAGCTGAAGTAGCTTTTTTATTTAGGGGACTAGGGAAGGCCTCTCTGTTGAGCTGACATTTGAGCAGTGACCAGCTAGAAAAAAGAGATCCAGACCTGAGATCCACCGAGGTTTAAGTGAATACAACTTTCAGGGAACATGGGTGGTTAGTCATTGTTATATGCTAATGTTAATTCAACTATGTTTGCAATCAGGCAAAGATTATTTTTGCTAAAAATCTCAGGTAATTTATACTCATGTTTCATTTCTAGGAATTATCTTAAGGATAAATCAGAAATGCAGACACAGATGTTTGACTAAAAATGTTTTTAAAAGAAAAAAAGCTAATGGAAAATGCCCTTCCTTCCCTGACCTTCTCACCCTCAAGGCTCCAGTGGGCACCCCTCCTCTGTAATTCCGAAGGCCCTTGAACTTCTCTCTGTGGTCATGTTTTTATACTGAGGAAGACTTGCCTGTTTACCTGCCCACTTCCCCTTACTTGATTCTGAGCTCCTTGAGGGCAGGGACTATGTCACATTCAGCACCTATCATGGCGTCTGGCACATCATCATAAGCATTCTGTACATGTTTGATAAAAGATTAGTCAAATATTTTCTGGCATATCTATAAATGGAATATTATGCAACCACTACAGATCATGTTTTTGAAAATAATTAATAACCAAAAAATGATCATATTAAGTATAAAAAGCAAGCTGCAAAACTATATATGCAGAAGGACCTCCACTAAGAGACCAAAGTAATTAAAATCTGTTTCTGAATGAAATTAGTATCATTTCTGCTTTCTTTTTATATATATAT